CTTTCTTGGCACTTGAGTTGATGGGGATGAAGGGGGCAAAACCTCGTCAAAGTTTTTCCTTTGCAAACATCCCCCACTTTCCTCTGTACTCTGTGTAGCTTGTTCCAGTTCCCCTTTTCCTGCTTCAGGTAATAAGTTATTAAGAGTGTCCATTAAGCTTGCACATGCCTCTTTTATTCCTTGTTGGATTGCTTCCCCCAATATTCTTTTAAATTGTTCTATTGATAAGTCTTCTATCGGGATGTTTTCCTCTATCTCCTCTTCCTCCTCTCTTGCGTTTGTCGCCATTTTCCACTCTAAACAGAAGTCTTTGGGTTTCTTCTTAGAGATATTAAATAGCCTCACCCGAGCACATCTTGAGAATTCCCCTATAAATAGAAATAAACTTACAGAGACGATTCTTCAAAATATTTTTCTTGCCGCTATAATTCTTCATTCCAAACCATGCAGCTTGGGGTAGTTTCACTTCCACTTTTCTTTTTCTCTTTACTTCTGATCATTCACAATCGTTTGTCCTTATATTCCTTCTCTTCTGTTCTGTTGCTGTATTTTTTTCAGTCCGTTCTCATTTTATTTAAAAGGGTTGGCTGCAGCTAACAGGAACATGGTGGCCATGTTCCCTCCCATATGCCGCTCCAGCTTCAGGGCACCCCCCCACCTTACCAGAACGGGGGGGGCAAAAACAAGAGCCCCCTGCACCAGGTCTCTCCCCCGGAGACCTGGAGGGGCTATCTCGGAGACCGAGATACCCCAGTTAGAGCGGCTGGGTATCGGGGGGGTCGGAGCTCGCCGAACGCTGCCCGTCGCCGCGTCGTGCCGACCAGAAACTGGGGGTCTTGCATTATTGATGGAAGAACTGCCCTGCCTTCCTTTTGCACTTAGCATGATTCCCTGCCATTTGATATTAGTTTATTTCAGGCTCCATCTAGCATATTTAGGCCTGTGCTGTACATGTATACAAAATGGAGGAACAAGCCCTGAAAAATGGGGGGGGATGTCCCTGTGAGATGAGGGTCCCATGGGCATCAAATGTAGGTATGTATTGGGTAAGCTTACATACTCATCAACTGTAACATCTTGCTAGGTCATAAAGTGAATTTTGCCACACACCTGCTTCCCATCAGAAATCTGGAGAGGTAAAATAATTACCTTTTGGCAGGAAAACTACAGGACTCTTTCTGAAGTAGCTTTTCTGATATGGAAGCACTGTCTCTCTATCCCAAAACACAAAGGTAGTTAGTTTAATTGCTTGTGTCAGATTCCAGTATCCCTTTAGGGACAGGCAGAAGAACTCCCAGAAACAATGTTAATTATTTTTAAAAATATGCACCCCACCCATCAGAAAGAAATGGATTCTTGAAGCAGACTGAACCCTAATCAGTCTAATGAATCTACATTTCCTATTTGCACTCTGTTAGGACACTGCTGCAGCATAGAAATAATCTGGTGGGAATGCATCCAAACCATGTGCAGCTCCTCAAATGCTCACAAGAAGGCTTTTTTTTTTTTTTTTTGCTTTTCATCAAATGCTCAAAATTGTTCCAGACTGCATTGCAAATGTTTTGTGTTTTCAACTTCTCATGCTGCTGGCCCTTCTCTGTCTGCCATTTAACTAACCCACTCAACACACACCTCTTACAAACAATGTGTTTACCTTAGTTGTCTCAAACTGAATCTAGGGATGGGGGCAGGTTGAGCTGCATAGCATGTCTGTAGTGTTCCCATTTTGCCTTGTCTGAATAGGTTATTGTTAACTGAGTATTCTAAACAAAATACTTCATGCATTCTCATGTCATAACCTATGAACTGCAATTTCATCCAGTACATTCTGAGCATGCACAGACATCAAATAGCACATACACTCAAAATATAGCCATTTTAAACGGTGCGTGGGTTTTGGTTTGATTCATGGCTTTTGATTGGCTAAGGTCCAGCGGTACATTCCTAGCTTACTTCATTATGGCAGAACTCTGATGGGAACTTTCAAGAGAAGGTAATAATTTCATTCAGAAGTGACAATTAAAATGAAATGGACTTTTAGAAATTCTGTTCCTTCAGCATATCATAGCATTTTTATGTTAAACACAGAGGTCAATTTGGGGGGATCGCGGGGGATCGCCGTTCCCCCGGGTGAGGTGCGGGGGCGGGGCACATGATGAAGCCCCGCCCCTGCTTCCGGCCGCCCCGCTTCCAGCCCTCATTCAGCCAGGAGGAGGCAGGAGAAGAGGGAGGGTAAGTTGCTTCCTCCCCGCCTCTCCCCACCCCTGCCTGCCTGGGGCCAGGGAGGGCCTTGGCGGGGCTTCCTCGCACTCCCACTGGCCTTGCAGGTCCACCGCCGGGCCCCTGATGTCAGGGGGTGTGGCATATGCTAATGAGTTATGCTAATGAGTTCCCCTAGCTCTTTTTCTACGAAATGACCCCTGTCAGGGCTTCTCCGCACTCCCGCCAGCCTCGCAGCTCCACTGCCGAGCTCGACGGGGGCTCGGCGAGAGCTGAAACCAGGGCGGCCGCCAGAATTGTTGGGGGGATGGAGTGAAAACAAAAGTATAAATGCCTGGATTTTCTGTGTATTTTCCATAGCAATGTGGTCATCTGCCCCCATGCTTGGTTTATAGCTGTTTTGGTTTATAGCTGGTCTTGGTTTATAGCTGTTTTTTCTCTCTGGAATTGCCTACCAATGTTCCCTCTAAGCTGTGGAGTCTTGTGAGCAAAATTTCTACTTTGTGAGCCACTGGCATTAAAGCTGTGAGCGAGTGATTTGGCTACTGCATCAGTTAGTTTGCCTCTGGAGCCCTCCCTCCTGAGTGAAGAGAAAAATATGTGAGCCAGAGGCTTAAAAGCTGTGAGCTAGCTCACACTAACTCTGCTTAGAGGGAACACTCCTGGTAACTGGAATGTGAATAGCTACATATTTTGTACTTCATCTATTACCAAACAGCTTTCCTTTTTGGCACTCTGGTACTAGGTCTTCACTGATGTGCTTGTTGTTGCTTTTCTCTCAACAAACCAGTTACTGAAAATAGATAAAATTGTGTTGAACTTCTATCCTTTTTACCTGACATGGGTGGTTTGCTTGTTTTCCCCCACATGTGCCATCAGATAGGCTCGCCAGCTCTGAGTTGGCAATACCTTGGAGATTTTGGGGGTGGAGCCTGAGTGTTGGGTTTAGATTCAGAGGAATTAGCTGTGTTAGTCTGTTGCTGCAAAATAGTCCAAGAGTTCAAATAGCACCTTTAAGACTAACAAATAGCACCTTTAAGACTAAGACTAACTGAGTGGTGGGTGTGGCCTTATGACACACTTCTGGTGATGGCATGGGGTGTGGCCTTATGACACACTTCCGGTGATGGCAGGGGGTGTGGCCTTATGACACACATCTGGTGATGTCAGGGGGTGTGGCATATGCTAATGAGTTATCCTAATGAGTTCCCGTAGCTCTTTTTCTACTAAACGACCCCTGGTTAAACAGTTAATGTCAAACAGGAATGGAAACAAATGTAGGGAGTGTTTTTATTAATGAAAACAACTTCATTGGATTACTTGGAACTGAAGTAATATACAGCAATAGAAGAAATGCAAAAGGAAGGAGTGCAGTAAGTATTAACATGCAGAAGATAAGTTGTAATAAAACTACATTGTAAAAACAGTTCAGTGATTATAAATGGCATCAAACTGACTGAGCAATTAACTTTAGGACAGATGAAGAATTATGTCATAACCCTGTGAAAAAATGTAAGTATGATAGCATATCCACATCCATTTAATGCTTGGAAGAATCCAGTCAGGGCTATTAGAGCCATGAGTGCTGTTCTACCAATCCCTTCTGTTTCAGTAAGGCTCAAGGAATCATTGGCAAGGGTGGAAGACATCCAGCCTAAAGGGGCCAGATGGTGTACCTTAAATAGGTCTTCTGCCTTCCTGGCTCAGGTAGTTGCTGCACAGTGCTGAGCTGTGGAGGGGAAGAATTGTGTAGCTGTGGTGGTGCTCTTCTACCTCCAGCGGCTGTTCTTCAGAGAGGCCAGTGAGGAGGAGGTCCCAAGTAGTTTTGAAGCAGTGAGCATGTGGCACATTTGGTGCCAGAGAAAAGGCAAGTTTGTGTGCAGAACAGTGAAGGGTGTGTATGTTGCTGCAGCAGTGTCTGGGCCTTACCTCTTATTTTGGGGAATCTTGAACATAAGAGAAGAAGAGATTGGATTTATACCCCGCCCTTCACTTGGAGTCTCAGAGTGGCTTACAAACTCCTTTCCCTTCCCCTCCCCACAACAGACACCCTGTGAGGTGGGTGGGGCTGAGAGAACTCTGACACAAACTCCTCTTTTTCAAGGACAGCTGTGCCAGAGCTTGTGACTGACCCAAGGTCACATCATTAGGTGCAAGTGGAGGAGTGGGGAATCAAACCCATTTCTCCCAGATTAGAGTCTGCGCACTTAACCACTACACCAAACTGGCCAGTATTGGATCAGGCCATGGCCCATCCAGTCCAACACTCTGTCACACAGTGGCCAAAAATACCAGGTGCCATCAGGAGGTCTAGCAGTGTGGCCAGGACACTAGAAGCCCTCCCACCGTTGCTCCACCCCCAAGCACCAAGAATACAGAACATCACTTGCCCCAGACCGAGAGTTCCTATACCTTGTGGCTAATAGCCACTGATGGACCTCTGCTCCATATGTTTATCTAAGTCCCACTTGAAGCCATCCATGCTTGTAGCCACTGCCACCTCCTGTGGCAGTGGAATTTTGTATGGAATTTGTATGGAATTTTGTCATGTTTGTTCTAATAAGTACACACAATACAACCCCTCACCCACAAGAGTTGATTATATGCAAGTGATTCATTAATGCTGAGAGAAAACCAGTCACTTTTCAATAAAACAGGAGCTAAATAAGACAGGAAGAAAAAGTGTGGGATTTTAATGAATGGTAGCCTTGGAAAAAACTAACTGACCACATAGAGTAGCTTGGTCTTGCAATTGCATTTTAATTTTTTCAATTGCCACAAGTCAGGTTTGGGGGGGGGGGACACCGAAAACATTAGAATGCAATGAGTCGTCAAGAGTGTCATCTGGATTACCTGTTAATGTACAGTGAACAGCAAATTCCAAAGGAAATGGCTAGTTAGAATGATGCCATCTCCATAGGCGCCTGGAGCAGTTGCCACAGCACTAAATAAAAATTTTCTACATAGGAAAGTGAAAGAACTTTTACCATCTGTGTTAAAAGAAGGTAAAATAGAAGCAGTTGGAGGGTGGGAGTTTTAACCTTTTGTCACCCCATAGAAGAGAATGAGGCAGGCAAGGGGTTTTTGGTTTTTTTGGTTGCAGAGAGAGAGAGATGCCTATTTCAAAGTTCTACCAAAGATGGAAGAGGGAGAAAGGTAGCCTCCATCAGGACAATCCTCTCTGTGTTATTTGAGGGTAACCAATAACCAACAAAGTGATTTGATATTGTTCAGAAGTTTTCCATGCAGCTGAAGTAAGTTTGCTTTTTACAGAAGTAATAAGTGTCACCACTGTGGCCCTACACATTTTGGAAAGCATTGGAGAGGTTTTTATTAGGAGGGCATGTTTCTCAACAAGCAGGTTGCAGAAAGGTGTGCAAATTCTTGTTGAAAGAATATGTTAAACCGAGCTAAATGTCATTCTTTTGACTTCAGAGGCAGAAGAGGCGTGTGGATGACAGCTCCAGTATCCCAGGTAAACATGCTTTTACTATTTGGCATTGTATTTGCAATCAGGGTAGCGATAGGCAAAATGAGAGTGGCAAGGCCGAAGAGGCTTCAAAATCTCTGCCAGCTTCTGAGCTGCAGAGATGACTTCTTGTTGACCTAAGAAAATGTCAGCACAAGTGGCCAGAGCCCTGTCAATCTCCTCTTGAATAGAGGGCAGGAATTTGTCCTTTAAGAGTTTAGGCAGAACCTCCTCGCATACCATGATGAGGCTCTGAGTGTGCTTGATGGAGTTACAGGAGGGAAACACAGACTGACAGTCCACAGCCAAGCAGCTGAATATGTCATGTTCCTTCTGGTCTTCCATCAATATGGTTACTAGCGAAAAGAAATGGAAACATTAGTTATAAACGTGTGAGCAACATTCTGTCCATACACATCTATAGTACTTTAGATCTATATTATGAAGCAAGTCAGACTACAAACTGCTCACCCCCTTCCTCTCTCCCCCACTGAGAGAAGACATGAGCCAAAAGAAGAAAAGCTACTTTTTGGTCATTTGAGAGCCCTTGCTTGTCTTATCATTCCTTACATCAACATTTCCTTCTATATGGAAAACTAGCATGGAATAGAGAATTTTTCTCTCACATCCCTTTCTGGACACACTGTCTTTTAATGTGCAATAGATTATTGAGCAAATATGTGACCTCCCTCTGCTGCATTCTGAAATTATATAGTCACATGAAGATGGCAGTATTGAATTTTGAACTGTCTTTTATATAACATTTTGAAGCTGACGCTGAGGATTGCAGGATTATTTTTTGCTTTACACACAATCTGAAAGTTATAACAATGTGGAGATAGTGAACACCATCACTGAGTGAGTCGCTGTACTTGTAATGAATGATTTTGAATCCTTCTTCAGCCTCTCCAAATAGCTTGGGGCAGAGGGCCTTCCCAAGGGAGTCATAAACTTATACAGCAAACATGACATGGACTACTGAACATTATAAGCCTCTTTGTCTGTCTGTAAAGGGGTTAGGCAAGCTTCTGGTAACTAAAGGGGGCAATTGGACCTGATAAGGAAGAAACTGAAAGCTTGTATGCAAGTGTCCAGGAAGAAATTGATCATAGACCCAAACAATCATAGGTGACTGGATGACCAATACAGAAATCAAATAGGTTACATAAACAGAAGCGAAAGATGGAGACGCTCTATTCTGCCTGCTAAAACAAGACCAAAAGCTGATTGTGGTACAGACCATGAATTGTTAATATCAAAAAACAGAAGAAAGCTGAAGAAAAATACCAAAACATTCATACTGCCAAAATACAATCTAAATAACATTCCTGAAGAGTTTAAGGACCATGTATAGAACAGATTTGCAGATAAGTTCAAGTGATGTGAGTCAGAGGAACTATGGATTGAAATCAGAGATTATCAAGGAAGAACATTCAAATACTATTCCTGTAGCCAAAAGAAAAGCCTTCAAGGATGACTGATGAAACTCTTAAAATTGCTAAGGATAGATAAGTAGCAAAAGTTAAAAAGTGACAGAAGTAGAATCAGAATGTGTTGTTCCAGTGATTCGTACATAGAGATGGAGATAACTATTATAATATCCAGTGTAAAGAAATAGAAGAGAGAAAGAAAAAAAGGAAGAACAAGAGATCTGTTCCAAAGATCCAAGAAATCAAAGGGAAATTTAAAGCATGGTTAGCATGCTGAAAGATCAATGTGGAAATATATTAACCGAACAGGACAAAATAAAGAAAATATGGGAACAATACATTATTATAATTATGTTGACACTGAAGAAATATACAGAAGAGATTAAAGGATGACAGATCCCTTCAAAGAAACTTTTGAATAACCACCTATGGTTTTAGAAAATGAAGTGAAAGCTTCACTGGGAGCAGTTGGGAGAAACAAATCACCAGCAGTAGACGGGATATCAATAGAGCTATTTCAAGCCACAGAAAAAGAGTCCCTCAAAATCTTGATGAGAATATTCTGACAAATATGGAAAACAAAACAAGGGCCCACAGACTGGAAATACTCGATTTACATTCCAATGCTGAAAAAAGGAGACCTCAAAGACTGCAGCAACTATCAGATCATCTAACTAATTTCTCACATGAATAAAGTGGTGCTCAAAATCTTACAACAAAGACAGTTACTGTATATGGAATGAGAAGTGCCAGATGTTCTAGCTGGATTCAGAAAAGAGGCACTAGAGATCATGTTGCAAATTGACTTTTTTTACTGGAGCATACAAGAATTTCAGAAGAAAATCAGCTTGTGTTTCATAGATCACATGAAAAGCTATAGTTGGCTTTAAAAGAAATGGGTGTACCACAACATTTGATTGTTTTGATGTGCAGCTTGTACTCTGGACAAGAGGCTACTGTTAGAACAGAATATAGAGAAATAGAATGGTTTCCAATTGGCAAAAGTGTCAGACAAGGATGTATTTTATCTCCCTGTCCCATCTATATGCAGAACATATAATAAGGAAAGCTGAATTAGATTTAGATGAAGGTGGAATGAAAATTGGTGGGAGGAACACTAACAATTTGAGATATGCAGATGACACCACATTACTGACAAAAAATAGTAAAGACCTGAAACAACTGGTGAAGGCTGAAGCAGAAATTGCTAAAGCAGGTTTACAGCTGAACATGAAGACAAAAGTGATGATTAGTTGGACTGCTGAAGAATTACACAACTTTAAGTCTGGTGATGAAGACATTGAATTTGCTTCAAGATTTTCTACTCTTTGGCTCCATCATCAGCCAAAAGGGAGACTGCAACCAGGAAATCAGATGGAGATTGAAACTAGGAAGGGCAGCCATGAAGGAGCTAGAAAAGGTTCTTAAGTGTAAGGATGTGTTGCTGGCAACCAAAATCAAGATAATTCATAGTATAGCATTCCCCATTACTGTGCATGGGTGTGAAAAATGAACAATGAAGAAAGCTGACAGGAAAAAAGTTGATTCACTTGAAATGTGGTGTTGGGGGAGAGTTTTACAGATATCATGGACCACCAAAAAAGAAAATCAGTGAGTTCTAGAACTTTCCTTAAAATGACTAAACTGAGGCTATTGTGCTTTGGTCACATTATGAGAAGACAAGAGTCACTGGAAAAAAAAAACAATAATGCTAGGAAAAGTTGAAGGCAGTAGGAAAAGAGGAAGACCCAACATAAAATGGATTGACTCAATCAAGGAAGGCACAGCCCTCAGTTTGTAAGACTTGAGCAAGCCTGTTAACAATAGGACATTTTGGACGTCATTAATTCATAGAGTCACTATGGGTGACAGGTGACTTGATGGCATTTAACATGCACACACAGCTGGGCCTGATGATTTTCCAATGTGCAGAATATATCAACCATTTTTCAGGTTGTTGAAGTGTGGAGTGCCTCCCATCTAGCCTCCATTCAATACTCCTAGGCCAGCTGAGTTGTGTAGACTGTTTTGTGTCCTGCTTAGACTCATGGTTCCTGGCCCCTTTGATCAATGACTGGATGCCTAGTAATGGACTGCTTTCATAATTCATTTTGATGCTTTTTTTTTTTTACCTAAGGGGGCTTCCCTAGTGTTTTTCTTGTCTCTGGGTCCCAGCTGCTTGAAAGGCAGTTATTTTGCTCTCTTTTATCCTCATCTACATTGCCTGCTGCAATAGTTCTATCTTTTATGCACCCCCACTCCACTTTGAAACTCTCCAGCTTTTCTTCAGGTAGGCATGTTTATAACTTAAAAGTACTCATTTTGGTACAATTAAACTAGACCTGTAGCAGCATTTTGCTACAGCAAAAAATTGGCTTTGTGGACTATAGGAGACTGGTTTTTTGCATCTAATTTTCCTACATATATAGAATGTGTGTTTAGATTTAAGCCTTGACCAAACTAGTTAAGCGCATAAATATCAGTCACGTAATATTTGGCAGCTTGGTATATGTATACAGATAGCCATTAAATTTTGGCTCTTGGACTTTTAATTAACCAATTACCTATAAATGTTAGAAGCTAAAAACAGGTGAATAACATCTATTTTTCTTCCTGCCTTGTTACATTCTCTTGTGATATATGCTAATTGAAAGATGAAGCTGTATACCTTCTTGCATGTCAATGATTCCTAGTCTGCTGGCATCCCGGATGAACAGATACCCATTGGTGAAAACTCCAAATGTGTCAGCATCAACATGGGTGAAGTAGAAGTAGTAGTTCAAATCATTATTCATCATGGAATCAATGACAGCAAGAAGCTGGAGAGCTAGGTCTGCTGCCACATCAGGAGATACGCTATAAAATTCCTTCAAAGGTCTGGTGCTGGTACTGACTATTAGCCGGCCACAAGACCCCAAGTATTTTGGAAATGGCCACCCTTCTGCTTCAGGGAAGATCTGCAAAGGAGAGGAAATGAAAAAGGTGTCCATATCAAAGTGGCAATAGTCATACAATCATTGAATATAAAGTGCATCTATGTAAAAAACAAATCTTGCAGTTCATCAGAATTACTTGCTATGTTGTTTTATATTACTTGCTTTCCTAAGCGGAATGGAGTTCCAGTATAGGTTTACAGGGACATTTGGTAGTGGCCAATGGCATGAAGTCCATTACTGGAAAAGCAGTACTTGGCAATATTTATTGAAGACAAATCTGGTTCTACTTTACTGTAAGGCACACAGCAAGACACGCAATGCAAAGCCCTATGAATTCAGAGTATTTTAGCCTCTTTTTACAAGTTTCTCAACAATTTCATTTTTTAAAAAAAATTATTTGATTTTCAGTAAATATATAAGACATTTAGGGAGGGAAGGACATGGGAAATGAGATAAGACAGCAAGGGAATTTCCATCGAGCTTAAATAATAGCTGTTACAATACAATTTCCATCTTAAACCTTTGTTTCCATACTTACAATCATAATCATAGAATGTTAGAGTTGGAAGGGACTTATACAACAATACTCCCCATTCCCAGTTATATTAACAAATCAAAACTTTCAGTATCATACTCATCCAACAGTTATGCAATGCAACCCCATAAGTTTCTCAAAGATCGGCTGACTAGGCAGTTGGTTCCCTTCCTTGAACACAATGATCTGGCGTCAGTGATCCACGCTATGGTCACCTCGAGGTTGGACTACCTGGGCTGCCCTTGGTGCAACTCCAGAAGCTGCAGCTGGCGCAAAATGCGGCGGCCAGGCTGTTGATGGGTCTCCCTATGTGGGAGCACATCCAGCCTGTGCTAAAGACACTGCACTGGCTGCCAATAGCATAGTCGATTCGTTTCAAGGTACTGGTTTTGACCTTTAAAGCCCTTTATGGTCAGGGACCTGCCTATCTGAGGGACCGCCTTTCCCCACATGTTCCCCAGAGAACACTGTGATCAGGGTCACAAAACCGCTTGGCCCTCCCTGGTGCCAAGGACACCAGATTGACATCGACCAGGACTAGGGCATTCTCTTTGGCAGCTCCAACCTATTGGAATGAGCTCCCCAGTGAGATCAGGGCCCTGCGAGACCTGGGACAGTTCCGCAGGGCCATAAAAATTGAGCTTTTCCGGCAGGCATTCTGATAGGAGCTGCACCTTATCAGCTACACCCTGTGCCGACTTACTTCCAGCCAAAGCTGGAGTGGATGCACTGCTGAATATATTCTTAAACGCACTTCACTATATCTGGATCGCCATTGATGGTCTAAACTGTTTATTGTGTATTTTATACTGAGATGTATGTTGTATTTATTGGTTTTTATGTAAGCCTCCCTGAGCCTGCCTCAGTGGGGAGGGCGGGGTAAAAGTTTAAATAATAAATAAATAAATTTCAATGGGATTTAGGGTTACCATACTTGGGACTGGTGTCAGGAGTAGTTATGCTGAACCATCTGCCAGTTTGGCTTATATCCTTCTTGACAGTTGCACTAATGGACCTGATAATGCACCAATCTGCTAAAATAGTTCATTTGCATGATTAATAGCTTTCTCAGAGCTGCCACCATTTACTATTGCCCCTAATTTCTAAAAGCAATAAAGTTAGAAGGGACAAATCTTGAGATTTTTGAGTTGAGAATTACTACTTAGGTGCTTTCAGTGTCTGTCCAGGAACCAAGCTAATCTTGTGATCACTTCAATATAGCTGCTGCTAATTATGCAGGTAATAAAAGTGGATCCAATGGTGGTCATTCTAAGGATACGTTCAACCATGCAGGTGTAAAGAGGGGGAAACCACAAGTAATTCCAAGAATTACAGATCTGATGATGCTGAGAGGTGGCTGCTGCTCCTTGCATCTACCATTGGGGTGTTCCTGCCTGAGTTATTAGGTGTGGCGATAGACACTGCTGCATGTTTATTGTGTGGGAAAGGAGTGGAGGAAGCGGGAAAGACCCTGTCAGCTCCTGTTCTGATACATAATTGAGAGGTGCCATAGCTGGAGCTGGCCATATTAATACTAATGTTTTTAATAGTAGAGATACTCTTCTATATAGTGAAAACATATATATGTTTTCTAAGATTGGCAGGACAGGTTGACCAGCTACAGACTGCAGGAATAGAGATCAAGGCCACCCACCAACTAACCAACTTTTTACCTAACCCTCATCTTCATCTATATTTATTTATCTATTCAGCTATAGTTATTATTTATTTACTTTACTTCCTGCCTTCCTCCCCAATGGGGACCCAAAGCAGCTTACATCATTCTTCTCCCCTCCATTTTACTCTCACAACAACCCTGTGAGATAGGTTAGGCTGAGTGTGTGAATGGTTGAAGATCACCCAGTGAACCTTCATAACAGAGTAGGGATTCAAACCTGGGTCTCCCAGATTCTAGTCTGAAACTCTAACCACTACACCACACTGACTTTTGAGGAATGGCTGCTGTTGAACTGAGGCAAGTAGCTGGCCCTGCATAAGTCATGCAAGTGGTACAGTAGCAAGTCACGCAGTGCTTGCTACTAAGACTGCCTGTGATGAATCCTCCCTCAAAGGCCAAAACTGCTCTGAAAATGGCCCTCCCCCACCTTTATTATTTATTTATTTTATTTGATTTGTATTGCGCTCTTCCTGCCAGAAACCAGTGCAATGGTTGGCAATACTTTTGTGGTTGCCTAGCAATGATCACTGAGGGCATTCATTTTTTTAAGCCGCAGGCACTCCTATCATGGGGGGGGGGGGAGTTAAACCTCCAATGGATTTTTTGTTTTTAAATTTCAGATCCGCTCCCCCCCCCCTGCGCGCGCAAACTTGTAGGAGGTGGAAAGCAAGCAAATCATACTTCACAGGTGCAAGGACTTGTACTCAGGTTTCTTTAAAAAATGGTCTTTTTTGTAAATTTTCCCAGTATCCAGATTTAAGTATCCACAGAAGAGGATCATGTTGCAAATCTCCCTTATAAATAAAAGCCGAATGGTGGTGGCACCTCTAGAACATTCCACACGCTCCAAAATCAGTTGGCTCTCTGCTCTGTCATTCAGAGGGTCTTCCTATCCACTGGCTGCTTTGCCTGAGTCCTGCCTCCAACATTCTAAACATTTTGCTAATCCTCTCCCCTCCATAGCCAGTCAGAACACAGAGGTTATTTGCACATGCAGCCTCACTGGCCTTTGCCTCGGAACACAGAGGTCGTTTGCATATGCGACTTGACTGGCTTTTGCCTCTAACATTCTAAACAGTTTTGCTGTTCTGAGGTAAAATGAGTCCAATCTCCAGGTGAGGGCTGGAGATCATTCAGAATTACAACAGCTTTCCAGATGGCAGAGATCAGTTCCCCTGGAGAAAATGGTGGGCTCTGTATCCTTATATGCTACTGAGGTGGCCCCCATGACAGCCAATGTGACGTAGCAGTCAGGGATTAAGAGCACGGGAGAGGCTGCAGGTGTGTGGGGGATGGAAAGCTGAAGAGTGAGGGGGAAATAAAGGCAGGTTTTCCCCTGGAGAAAATGGTGGGCTCTGTATCCTTATATGCTACTGAGGTGGCCCCCATGACAGCCAATGTGACGTAGCAGTCAGGGCTTCAGAGCACAGGAGAGGCTGCAGGTGTGTGGGGGGTGGAAAGCTGAAGAGTGAGGGGGTAATAAAGGTAGGTTGGTGATTGGCTGGGAAGAAGATAGGGTTGCCAACTCCAGGTGAGAAATTCCTGGAGATGTGAGGGATGGAGCCTGGAGAGGGTGAGGTTTCAGGAGATGTGGGACCTCGGACAGGTACAAAGCTATAGACTCCACCCTCCAAACCAACTATTCCCTTCTGGGGAACCATCGTTGCCAATCTCCAGGTGAGGGCTGGAGGACACTCAAAATTACAACTGTTCTTTAGGTAGCAGAGATCAGTTCCTCTGGAGAAAATGGTGGACTCAGTGTCATTATACCCTGCTGAGGTCGCCACAGCAAATTGACACTGAGTGTCCAAGGCCAGGGCACCCACCCAGAGCCTCTTTCTAGAGGCCGTTGTATTTATTTCCACAACGAGCCTTTTTCCTAGTTAGATATATTGATAATGTTTGTAACTGGCTCTGGCTGCCATAAAACAAAATTACTGTCAGCAAGCT